TATAAAAAATTAACATTGAATTTTATTTTTAATACTAATATCATGTGAAATTATTTAATTAAAAGTTTAACAAAACATAGGTCAAATTTTATTTTTTTATATAAATTAATAATAAAAGAATATAATAATTACACATATACCATTTAATCTAAATTCTAAAGTTATATTAAAATTAATTTTATAGAATATACTACGCTAATATGAGGTATACCTTAAGATTGTATAGGGATAGATTAGTCTTGAAGTGCGAGTTGGCCAAGGAATATTAGTGAGATGCATTTTATATGTTTAAATTTATTATAATAGTCTTGATTTTTTAAATATTTAAATGAGTAGAATGTGATTTTTTTATAAATTTTACGTAATTTTTATTCTTTCTGTGAAAAAAACTTAAATGCGTAATGACATAAGCTTCTGGACTTAAGTGGATATCTTGTGAAAGTTGAGAGATCTAAATGAATGAATTTTAAGTTCTATGATCAACGTGCTCATAATGTAGAAGATAAAGGACCAGTGACTAATTTTACCATTAAAGAAATTACAAAATGATCCAGAACCCCGACACGGATAGTGTGTCGAGCCCACCTTGGTAATTGTCGACACTATGAAGTTAAGACTTCGGGGATTTCTCGCATGGTGAAACTCGAAGCAAAGGTGTTTCGACACCTAAACCATAGTATCAACACCCTAAGTAATTTTCAGCTTCAAATGTTTTTTTTTTTTTTTTTTTTCTTTTCTACACTGGCCTTCCTTTTTGTATTTAGCAACATTTTCTTAAACTCTATAAGTACTTCTTTGAAAACTAAATTTTGAGGGTTTTTGGAGAGTAAAAGGCAGTAATGAGAAATTTAATATTAAAAAAAATTAAAATTAGAGATTTTATGTTATGAGACTGATTTTATCTATTTTTAAATTTTGTTTTATAATATTAAAAACTCTTATGTTTATCATTAAATATTTGATTTTTTTTTCTTTCATATTATGAACTAATAAAGAGATTTTATATAATAATTTCTCATATTATATATTGTGAATTAAATGAAAGATAAATATAAACCAATGTGATCTATGTAAAATTATTGATAAATGGATTCAAAGTTTTTAAATAAGTTAGGGAATTTTTTATACTATAATTTATTTTTATTTATTTAAATTTATATAAAA